CCCGCGCCGCCATGGCGAAGCAGCTGCGGCCCGTCTATGAGGGGCAGTTCACCGAGAGGTTTCCTGAGCTGTCGCCCGTGAGTGCCTTCGCCGAAGGGCTCCGGCTTCTCTGCTCCTTCCGGGAGCCGCGGGCCCGCCACGAGCTGAGGGAAGAGGGGCCAGACTGGCGCATCTCCTGCAGTCCCACCCGTCTCCTCCCAAACGCGCTTGTGGCATCTTTTTTACCCGCCCCCACGCCCCCTCGGGGATCATTAGACATCAATCTCACGCAATCTCCTCATACCCCAATTTGGCTAGTTGTGTTTATTAGTATAAGGGCTTTGGTTGTGCCTTAATTTTTTAATTTTCTTACTTAGGCTGGAAAGTTGCTTCCCATAGGTGACAGAGCAGCCGGTTGCCTCACCGAGGTTTTACCCAGGGTGAGTGAGTTTGTCAGTTGCTCCTTGTGAAACATTTGTAACGATTTAATCCCCCTGAAGGGGGCCTGTAAGAAAGGGGGAGAGGGGCTTTTTATAAGGGCATGTAGGGACAGGACAAGGGGGAACTGTTTCGAACTCAAAGAGAGTAGATTTAGGTGAGACATTAGGAGGAAATTCTTCACTGTGAGGATAATGAGGCACAGGAACTGGTTGTCCAGAGAGCAGCCTCATCTAGTAAAAGTGTCCCAGCCCATGGCCAGGGGGTTAGAACTAGATGGTCTGTAAGGTCCCTTCCAACCCAACTCAAGATTCTGTGATTTTAAGTTCTTGTTAGTGATTGTGCTTTGAGACAGGCCCTAAAAAGAAAATCAGAGAAAATCTTAGTAATTTTTCTACATCCTTTCTCTTTAGAAAATACTGATTTTTTTTCAATGTTAATTTCTGTCACATGGGGTCATAGAGAATAGTCGGTAGGATTGTAAAACACTTCCGTCAGTTCTTTTTCGCTCTTCATGTTTTACAAAGATGGGACTAAATAGAGTTGGTTTAGACAGTTATTCTTTGATAGTACTGTTACAGTGATTAATATTAGGAGCTACAGTTACTTCTGATGGAGGTCCTTCTTTATCTGTGGATGCCCTTCAGAATCATGCTTCCCACAGGCCCTTCCCCATGGCCCTGAAGAGTCAGAGGGTACTGACACAAAAACTGATCTCTTAAATAGCAGCCCTGCCTTTAAATGGGTAATTAAAAAAAACCCCAAAACTGTGGTTAAAATAGTTTCTGAAAAGGCTACATTGGTGGTGGAATTGTTGTGAATCAGATTAACATCTACTTTTCATGAAGTATACCTGAATAAGCTGTTATCAATCTTAAAGATGGAACCAGATGGAACTTAGCAACTCTCTCATTATGTCTGTTGCGGGTTTGTTAAAATTTAGACTGGGCTATGTTGACCTTATCCTCAGAATACTGGCATTTCCAGAAATGCATGCAGGTGTTAAAACCCAAAATGTCCTCATATTTTGTTCTTCTCTCTGTGGGATCACACTGAAGTGGCTGTAGTACATTTTCTTCTCTTTAATATTTTGTGGTTATCTGGTGTAATTTTTTATTTTTTATTTTTTACTTTGCTTTATATGTAGCCCATTACTCCAACTATTGTGCAAAAGTTTCGGAATACAACAAATCCAGCTCCTGGTGTTAAAAAAATATTCTACGGCAGAGCAGATGATCCTGACATTGCATCTCACTTGACACATGGCAAAGCAACGTATTCTCCATTCACTGTAAGAATGTGACTCATTTACTTTTGTTTAAGAACGGACTTCTTAAGAATGTCCTTAATAAGAGCAACTGATTTCTTCATGGTAAGGGGTAAAGGTACACAGCTGAATGATTTACTTGGCAGCATTTTACCACTGTTGTGGATTATCTGATTTCTGAGGTCAATTAATAGGGTTTAACTAGCATGACTGAAGTAGGAAAACACTTCAAGTCCAATGATTTTTATCTTAACAGTGACTTAACTTTGGCAATGACCACTGAATTATAAATTTTGTTTCAACACTTAAGATAATGAACTATCTTCTACCCACAAATTTTGCTGCTTTCTTTACTGGTTACAGAAGTAAAACCTGTTGAGCTCTTAGCAAGAGAACTGCTATCTGAGAATGTGCTTATAGTTTAGCATAATTATTATGTATTCTTTTTTACCTTTGGGTTGAAGCTTATTTTGTTAGCTAAAAAGTGGTTCTGTATATGTCAGACTACTTTATGTGTATTATTTACTTCAGAAATTATTTTTGTAATCTATACTCAAACTGAAGAGAAACTAGGTGATTTAATAAATTGTTTTCCAAATCTCTAAAAATAACAGTTGTTTTAGTAAAATACACCTTTATGATGCACTGGGGCTTGTATGCATCAGCTTTTTGAGCAGCTTTTATGATCAGCTGGTCTTGTAAATTTTTTTCAATTTTACAAATGGAGATGTTGAGGCAAAGAGGAGTTCAGGTCTCAAAAAAGGTCTTCAGGTTTAATCACGTAAGTTCTGATACTACAGGGTGTTGAGTAGGGCATTTAGGCATATCCAGAATGAAAACAAATCAGGCTCTTGGTGTCCCTTTTCAAAAGTTGTATGTTGAATGGATCAATTTGTTTAGCCTATACTGTCAGTTCAAGGTTGCTTCATCTTGCAGTATTAACTAAACATTATCTGGAGGAAGAGTCGGAATCTTACTGAGTTCTCTAAGCACGGATTTGGATCAGTTGTATTTGCTACTGTCACAATTTGACTCAGGATTGATCCCCTCCCCCTTCCATCCAGATAGGGAAAGGAGAGAGAGAATAAGGAGAGAGACTTTCTGGATTGAAAACTAACCTAGACAGCTTTAATTAAATACTAATGAAAAAGAAAATATGTACAAATATAAACAAGCATGTGCAGGAATGTGCAACACCCCTGTCGCTTCCGCCCACCCCAGCAACTCCCACAGCATCTCCCGAGCTATGAGCAGTCCTGAAATGTCCCGGAGCTGCTGGAGAGAGCGGCAGAGCAGACAGGAGCTGAGGGGAGAGTTATGAGGGTCAGGAGTGCACGGGCCTAGGGGTCAATAGTGATGGATAGACAGAGTCCTCCCCAGATGCCAGCCATGGATGGAAGAGAAGGGAAGAAGAAAAAGGGAAAAGGGCCTTGACTTCCGTGATCCCTGACTTAATATATACAAGTCCTACATAAATATAAGGATGGAATACTTTGATTGGCCAGTTTTGCAATCTGTCTAGTCCGCTGCTCCCTATGGAAGAGTTGCAGATATGAATGTTCTTCTTTAGAAGTGTCTGAAGTAGAAAATCTGACAAACAGAGCAGTGTCCTTGGTCTCTCAGCAGTAACTATAAACATTCAGGCATTATCAGTCCACTAGCTGGAAAACTTCCTGCTAGTTTCAGTAAGTGTGCTGCTTAAATAAGTGTTCACTGAAGGAAAAAAAAAAAAAAAAAAAAGTAAAAGGAAAATTGGCTCAATCCTGGCTCACTCCAGGACAGCTACTATTTTTTTCAATATTTATTTTATATAACATTCAACAAGAGTCTAATAATCCTGCTCTAGAGTCCCTATTACTTTGATGAGTAGTCTGAAAAATAATATTATTTGTGAAGATCAAAATACCTGGTTTTGATATTTTTGAAACTTTCTTTTTTTTTTTTAATTGTTTGCCTTGAAGTTGACCTAATTTTACAAGTAACTTCTATTCATCCAAGACCAGTGTGTACACTGAGGAAAAAAAATGTCCAAGCTAGTGCTAAGCTTTGAAAACACTGCTGAAGTAATTTCTGTTGGTATGACTGTTTAGAATGCAGTATTAATATTTATCTTGAATTATTATATTTAAATTATGCATTGGCAGAATTGAGAGTAGCTTTTAGAGAATGGTTAGTCTTAACTGTTAGACAAAATATGTTTTTAATCATAAGCACCAGGAGACTTCTTTCCAAAGATGTTACAACTTTTCAAGCTGAAGTTTTGGTCATATTATAATTTGAATATTGTTTCTAGTATATGATAAGCACAGAAAGGCTGCAGTCTGAAAATGTATAAATTAACAAGTGGAAAAACTTGCATAAAAATAAAAAGTGATGTCTTATAGTATGTATTTTATTTAGCTGGAGATTTTGATTATTAGTGGTCTTCTTTCAAAATACAGTATTTTTTTTCATCGTTGTAAACAAAATTATGTCAGTGTAATCATAAAAGATCTCAGAGCACTTGTGATCAAACTTTTGTGCATACATTGGTGAGGAGATGGCCAGATTGCTGTGTGAATGATTAAATTTTGCAAGTTTTCCTGCCTCTTGTGTTGTTTGTGATGTCTTTAGGTAGCTTCAATCATAAGTCCACTTCCTAAAACTAATTTTCAACAAATAATGCAAGACAAGAAAGAAGCAATCTACTTTAGGAATAGAACAGCACCCTTGGGCAGATCACATGATCAATCTTCTATGTTACCTGAGGGCTTGGATATAATTAATACTACATTTGGAACAAAAATCATCCAAGGTAGGAAAATTTAGCATTAAAACATATCCTAAATACATTATAATCTGCATTTTAGCATCTAGCACATATTCTATGTTTCCAACAATTCCAATTTAATAGAAAAGTTGTTAGTATAGCAGTTATTGAAATACATTAAAATGTACTAGTATTTTTTAGTTACCATGAAGAAAGGAGCAACTGAGAATGGTAACTATTAGGGCTTTTCGGTCTGTAACAGATCTGTCTTTGTAGATTTCCCTGGAGAACTGTTTAGCAGATAACTTACCTTCCTTTTCTGAAGTGTTCTAATGGGGCTAGGAAATGTTATTACCTTTACTTGTGAGTCTCTCCTCCATAGATTGGAGCAAATCATGTATGTGTTGACCATGTAGCTCTCTTGCAACAGTTATGTTCATCTCAGCTTCTATAATTTGTTTTTTTTTCCCCTAGCCCCATGCCATTATGCTGTAAGATTCCTATAGATTGACTAGAAATGTGGTAAAAAGTATCATTCTTCCACAGTATTAGCATCTTCTCTAGCAAGATATTGTTTAAAATTGAGAACTAACCAAACAAAACACTGAACCCCTTACCTCTCCCAACAGTATTATTCCTTACTTTCCAGGTTCACCAGCTGGAGAGCTTATAAATCCACCAAAAACTTTTGAGGAACTGGATAATGAAGACAGAGAAGGGCATGATCTCTATATTGTGTCACACAATGATTATTATGCAGGTAAGTTCAAAGGCTGACAAGAAAACATAAAAAGTTCTAATATAAATAAAGGCAATTTATACTATGTATACTCTTTTTTTTTTGTTTGTTTGTTTGCAATCTCAGCAATTATTTTGTATTACTGTGTTAATATAATAAAAATTCTTCTTAAAAATAATGCTGTGAAAAAAACACTTATATGTAACAGAGAAAGCATGACCTGTTTCTAGAACTGTGGATCACTTTGTAGTGGATGTATTAGACAGTCTAAGAACTTACTAAGGGAAATGCAAACCTGATTTATTTGGGGTGCTATTTGAAAAGCAAAGTATTTCCAGGAAACTAGAAACTCATAGATGCCCTCATTGCTTACTGAGTTTGGCATTATCTCGGCCACTGAGAGGAATCTCAGGCTTAAAGCCAAAGACTGTGAGCCCAACCTATACCTGTACTTTCACCTCTGGTTCCTCTGATTTATCAGGAACCAAACAGAATTTTGGGGCAACTAGACTTTCTGATGGGGAGCTCATCGTCAAGCTCTGGTTACAAAGAATTTCAGGCTTCTGACTGGCTCTCTGGAATGCAGGTTCCTTAGCCTACAGCATCCTGCCTATGTGTCTGTCCCACAGCCCCTGTCTCTGCCCTTCCAGTGGGCTGTACCTTCACTGCTTCAGCCTCTGGGGGCTGTACTTGCATGAAGTGGCCTGCCCAGGGATGGCCACCCTTTATCTCATAGGGCTGCACAGGAACAGAGTGACAAATAGCACTCTGAAATGCAGTACGTGTATTACTTTTGCAGCCACTTCTATTTTTCAAAGTGCTATCGTTTCCACTTAGGCTGAGACTTAAATTGCTGCTCTGTAAGACTAGTATTTTAACAAAATTGCCCATTCTGCTAGTACCAACAGTTTTGTAGTTGTAGTCCAAACATGTAAGAAACTCCAGATATTTGAATTGTAATAATATAAATGTTATATAAAGGCACTTATGTAGAAGTGAATTTATAGTAACTGTGTTCTCTTACTGAGAAGTCTTACTACGAGTACTATTGGTATGAATTGGCCAAACTTGTAATTTTATTTCCCCTATTTCCTGCCTCTCTTAGGTGTTTTGGTCGAAGTAATTATTTTCACTTTCTGTCTCCCTTGTAGCTATAGTGCACAAGGTCATGGGGAGGCCAAGCCAAAAACAAACACACAGAAAAAAAAAGTCAATTAAGTGTCTTGATTTTGAACAACAACATAAAAATTCCATTCTGCCATACAGCCAGAGGAAGTTCTTATTAGAAAGCACGCAGGGAATAATATTTTTTGAAAGGTCTAATTGCTATTCTTTTCAAAAATTGATTGAAAAGAGCTTGAAGAAACATAATGACCGTTTTTTTCTGTGACAAGAAACATATGTTTGCATCTCAAGTATGTACAGTATTTATATGATATTCTTGTAAGGGAAACTTAATTTTATAGGCAAGACTGGATGAATAGATTCATGAGCAAGTAGGGTAATATCTTCTTTCAATGAAGTCAGTGGCAACATTTCCATTGAAGTAAACATAACAAGAGTATATTTGAAAGTGCAACACCTCAAAAATATTGTTTTCTTTTAGCATTAAAAAAAACAAACAACAAATAGTAAATTAAATGGTACACAACTACGCTCAAGTAGGGACATTATAAACTGATTTTTTTGCGTGACCCTCAGGCTACCTCGCATTTTTTCATTAATTGCTTGGCTTGTCTTTAGTCAGACAGAATAGGATATCCTGTAGGATATTTTACCACGGGAACAGTTTTTGCTTTTTATTTTGCCTTTGATCTTAATTTTCAACAATGAGGTTATTCCTAACTATGTAATTAACACAAAAAATGAAAAGTACTTATCTTTAAATAAACAGAATTGTTAATTATTTTTTTACTTCTGTTTCTTCATTCTTAAGAATGGAGATATTTAATACATTTTCCTTCCTGAGGTAGAAAGTTGAGACCCTTAATTTTTTCACAGGGGAACCAATAAATAGAAAGTATGACTCGCGATACTTCAGCAAGTCTTCTCTTTATGGATTACCAACCCCTCACTGTAACCACGGGAGAAATACAGCCAAATGCTTCCATTGGCTTGATGATCTGCAGTCGTAAGTTACTATTTAATTGGTGGTGTGAGTTCTTATGAAGAATGAGTCTTAATATTTGAAGGTAATTTTTACATCTCACAATCCCATCCATAGCTCTACTGAACTGAATAGAAAACGAAAGGAGTAATTTTTAGAATAGTTTATCCAGACCGGTTCTACAGTAGGATAAAAGCACTTGACATATCTCTAGAATTACTTAAAGACACCTTTGTTTTTAAATAGCAGGATTTTTCAGTTACTAAATTTGTGTTTGTCTTGCAGAGGAGTTGTTTTTTCCTTCTAATACATAATAATGTTTTATAATATTATTGAAAAATTGTTTAATATTGTTAAACAAATCTGTGTGAGAGATATAACTTGTAGAATGAGAGCAGTATCAAAACAAAGTGATGATTTCAAGGAAAAAATTCTACCTCAGTTTGGAAAAGTCCTTGATGCATAAATGAGCAAAGATACTTTCCAATGACAAAATTAACTACCTTTTCCCAGTATCCAGTATCTTTTTCTGTATTGGATAAAAATTATATCTGCATACTCAACCCTTCCACTGCAGTATTCAGTTACACATGGGGACTTTCTACTTGCTCTGATTAGGCTGAAAAGTACCCAAGTTACTAGTAAGGTCTGTATTTTGTCTATTGTGTCTGTTAAGTCTTACTGGTCTATATCTGAATTGATCAAATTTGCACCAATCAAATTACAAGCACACTGTAATGCTTCATTTTTCCCCTGTCTGTTGCAGTTAGGAAGGTTTGAAAAAACGGAATGTTTCACCTATTGTTTGGGGATTTGATCGTTTTACTTATCCTGACACTGTTTTTTAATCATCTTTGTTAAATAACCTGTATTCTCACCTTATTACTTCCTTGGAAAAGGACATGGAATTTAATTGTGTTACTATCTAACAACATGTATCAGTATCAGTCAGATCATTACAGCGCTTCATAAACCAGTGATCCGGAACAGCTTTTTAATTTTACAAAACAGGTCTTATGAAGGGCTACACTGTTCCTAAAGTACAGAGTGGTCAGGATCGAGCTGTGCTACAAATCTAGGGTTCCTCCATGCATACAAAGACTTGTCTTTGCATATGCTCCAGGTTTCTGCAGAATTTTATCTGAAGACTCACAAACAACGTTATTGACTTTGGTACAAAATTTAGTTTAAGTTCAAGACAATAAACTTAAGTGACTCTGGAGAACAAAGCCCATAGTACTTGTAGGGAGTGAATAGAAAAGTGAGCCAGTTTCTCCTCTCCCCTCCACTGTGTCCTAGCTTATTGTGAAATGGAACTGGAGTGTGAGCAGCATAAAGCAGTATGATCAGTCAGGGAATATGAGTTGCTCAAATGTGCAAGCTCAAATCCAGAACTAGTATTACAAGACAGATGCAAACTAACCTGTTTTTACTTAGTAAATTTTACACCATCCACACTGTATGTATAATATGAAAAAGATAAAAATACACACAGTAGTTTTTAGGTTATGGTGCTTCCATCTCTGTGGTTTGTTTTGTATGTTAGAACAAACCACTGATTCTCTCTTCAGTTTTGGTGGAGATATCTGATTCCTGTAACAATTTTCATTATTAAACATAAAATTAACATTGCATCTTTTTCAAATAAAGAAATCAACAGTTGGAGATCTGGTTTGTCCTAAATGTTCCTATTCTTTGACTTGTATGTTATAAGGACTTTTTCTCACTCATTTCTATCATTCTCTCAAGGAAAAAAAAAGTGTTTTAACATAAAATATTTTTCCTCTGTTAATAAACTGTTTGACAATTAACAAAGAAATGTGCTTCTTGACAGTGTAAGAGAAAGTAGGAATGTTCCCCCCGTCCGTACATTTGGAATGTTGGTGCATCGAGATGAATATGGTAAGTTCAGGGGCAGAACAAAATCTTAGCTTGTTGATGGTACTGTGCTGCAGTAAGTACTGTTGTTTGTGTAGTATAAAATTTTCCAAACATCTTAGAGGCAAGGAACAAAAATGTAACAGCGACAGTAATTTTTCTGAGGGAAAATTTGAGACGAATTGAAGTTGCTAGTGGGAAGCCAGTGAATGTAAGAAATAAGGAAGCTGTAGTTTTTGGATGATCAAGTTGGGTTGGTTTAAATCAATTATGTATCTTTCCCCTCAATGATTTTTCCAGCACTTCTATAAAAAGAGTAAAAATAACAAGCAATAAATAAGAGTAATATTTTTTGAAGTAGCAGAGAGACAGAGAACAGAATGAAAAGAAAACAAATATGAATTTTCATTGTGACAAAATTTTGAAAGCTAGTCAGCTCAAATAGTCAGTGTTGGCATTAATGGTGATTTAACATGTTTAATAACTAGGGAATACAGTGAGTAGTTAGACAGCAAAAAAGTAAGTGGCTCAAAGTTCTTTAATAGTCAATACTAGAGAAGGCATTCTCAAATTCTGCATAAGCTTTTATACATGCTGAAAATCAGTATCTCAGAGCTGAAATTGTCCTTTTTCTTAAGACTATAAGACATTTTTTAAAAATGTCGATTGTCTGTATATGTGCAACTGATGGAGGAAATGTATATTTTTATAGGAGTTGCTGATCTGCTTCACTGGTGGGTTCCATATGAGTTCCTCCATGGAAAGGACAAAGAGAAAGCTGTCTTGACTACAGTTCGGCAGAGTTTGAAGAACACTAACTACAATAATTTTGACATCTTACTAGCAGTATTCAGGCATTATGATAAGGTCAGTGTAAATCTACACTTTGAAAATGTGTAAATGTAGTGGAATGTGTGACATTAATGCTCCAGTGCTATGGAGATACAGACATGAAGAAACACAAGCATTTCAAGGCACATACAGGTGAAGACTAAAGACTAGGTAACTTCATCGTTACTGTATGTTGAATCTACTGTGATATGCTATGGACACAACAGTAGTTGGAGCCTTTCACTGCAGTATTTAGAATAGCCAAGTTAAGAGAGAGCAAGGGACATGTGAGCAGAAATACTAGCATTTTTTTCTCTTAAAAATTTGGTATTTCTTCTTAAAATAAAATCAGCTGAAGAGACTATGTTCATATTTTCTTCCAAGCTGTACTTTCTGACTGAGTCACCAACCATCAGAATTTCAGATATTTTCTTTTTTTCTCTCTGAAAAAAAACACAACAAAACCCTAAACATTTCATATATAACATGAATTGGAATGTGTACAGAATGATTGATGCTTTACTTTCAAAGTAAATCTTAGCTTTGTCTCAACATTTATTATTAGATTGTTATCTTGTTGCCATACCGTCACAGTCTTTTACTCTCAAATCACTGTATTATTTAAGTTGAAAGTGTTTATTCATACTTCTATATTCCAATTTTTAGTATCTGAATTACTCAAGGTTTCTTTTTGTACTCAGCAATGTTACTCTTCTTAAATGGTGTGCCTGCTGCTGCATACATTTATATGTATATATAAGCATGTGTATGTGTTCCTTTTGGTGGAGCTTTCTTATAACAGCTGTTATAAAAACTTTTATTTTATTTAGAATAGAGATGGGATGATAGACAAGGACAGTCTACGCAAGTCCTTTTTTCAGCTTAATTTGAATCTAGATGATGAGCTCTTGGATTCGTTATTTGACTGTTGTGATTTGGATAAAGATGGTCTGATTAATTACCTGGAGTTTGCAAACTTTCTGAACTGGAAAGACAAAATGGCTGTTAAAGAGTTTGAAGAAAAAATAATAATAAAAGGTAGGTGACTTAATACTGTGAAATTGTGGAGATAGTCTTGTTCTAAAACAGCTGTTGAAAGGACATTGATGTTGTAAACTAGGTGCTTCTTTAGAAGGCTAGGGTTTAGAAAGTGCATTTTGTCCTTGCCTGCCACCAGCAGAGCTTCAGATACAAATGTATTTCAGGACCCTGGAATTCTGTGTTACATGTTGAGAATGTCCCACAAATGGGGAGAAAGTAAAAAAGTCTCTTATAATCATTCTCAGAAATACAGATTAACTTTGTTACCTACTTTATATTTTTCAAGGACTTGAGCAGAATTTTTTGCCTCTTAGTCTATAATGTGCTGATAATAAATCCTGTCTGCATTGCAACTTTTGTTTATAGGGAAAAAAATAGATGTTGCTGCTCCGCCTGAAAGCACAAAGATAAATGAGGAGCCACTGCTGAAGCAGGAAGATCTTGTGTTAAAAGAACCAGAAAGTTCAGAAAAGACACCAAAAACGCTTACAAGACCAGAAAATCATATCTTTGCAAATTATCAAACAAGTTCTTCTCAGTATAATTCTGTAGTAGGTGGTCTCCCAACAACCTGTAAGTACAGTGGACTGTACTTCTGAGCATTATTTAAGACAAAATCATGAACAAATGTAGAAATGTTGTTGCAGGTTCTACTAATGTACAATAGGAAATTAATTAATCTAAACTAAGTTTGTTTAGAATTGTGGCTTGGAAGTTGGCATGGTTTAGATGTTTGGCATGGTTAATCCATTCAAACGGTGAAAGTTAACTGAGGTGTCTTTCAGAAATTATTGTAGTAATTTTAGGAGAACAATATCTTGGATCAGCTATAAATGTTTTCAGCTGGAAGTACTGTATATGTACTAGAGCATTATGGCAAGATTTCCAGTTGTTGTGCTTCATGAGATACCTGAAGCTAGGAATTCTTAAAATATGAAAAAAGAGATGAGGAAGAAAATTATGTAACTTCTTAAACCTATGTGAGTTGAAGTATCAATTTTGTTCTTATTTAATAAAAAATGTTTTCTCTTACTTGGGTAAATGAGGATTCTCCATGCTACCTGTTGCTTGATTTCCCCAGGTTATCGAGTATGTGGTGTTCCAACTGTTCGTTCGGATATTCCTGCTCCTCAAATTCGCCGCATCAATGACGGAACTAATTATGGTGATGAGGCCAATGCTTATGCATTATTATTCCCTTCTATCTTCAGTCAAAAGGGAGTGTATGAAAGAGACCTTTTTAAAACAAGACCAAAGGGAGAGGTATAGTGCATTTCTTCAGACTATTCTTCCAAGATAAATGTACCTCCAGCCATATGGGAGTGGAAAGTCATCAAATAATCAGGCTGTAAAAGTTGTTGCAACATTATCTTCTTCTCTATTTGACTATCTGAAAAATATGTACTCTTCACATTCAAAATAATTCATAAAGGTGGTAGATATTTTATTGAGATGCAACTTCAATAAGTAATATAAGGAAGTATACCAGGTTGTTGCTACTCATGTGCTCAAATGCTATGTCAAATAAGGGTTGGTAATTAATCTAGGGTTAATTAATCTAGGAGTCTGATTTACCATTTCTGCAATTTGAGAAGGGCAGAGCATCTGTGAAATATCCATCCTTGGACATATTCAAATTGCTGACCAAGGTCCCAATCAACAGTCTAATGGTAAATTTGGCCATGCTTTGATTATGTGGTTGGATGGATGATGTCCAGAGATTTCTTCTGACCTATGTTATATTCTATGAGTATGTGTTTAAAAGCCCCACAGAAGATTTTCACAGGTATGTGAAATTAGTTTCTATCACAGAGATATATTCAGTGAAAAAATTTACCCAAGTTGTCTCTCCACAAACAAATTTGCAGGTTTTGCTAATGGCAAATTCAGCAAACTGGTTGAATATACCTTTTGATTTCTCTGCTGAGTCCGGGTCATAGGCTCACATCTGCAAAGGAATTGTACATTGATGAGGATATAGGGAGTCACTCAGTAGTGCTGTCCCATCTTGTATTTCTGAAGATAAAAATAGGGCATGAAACTGTAGGGACTTAATTGGGTACTCTGATTTTTCCATCTGATATCTCTGGGGGCTTCTACCATTCTCTTATCTCACAGTCCAGAGTTCCTTCCAATTAAATACTAGAAAAACTTGTCTCCTCCAGTATTGTTTGCTTTTTTGGTTCTACATTTGTATACATTTTCTAGTGAAAAAAATATTAACAGATAATTTCATTCCCTGAAATACAATTTATGAGACAGTTGTAACAAAATATGAAATTCTTACCTAAAATTAAAAAAGAAGGCTTGACAACCTCTCCCTTTCTCCGAGTCATTCAGTCACGTTTGAAAGTGGATCTGGAACTTGCATATATATTTTACAGAAAAGAATATTGCTAATTAGTGGCATGCAGAATATAGGTAGCACTAAATAGAATTCATGCTTCATTGAGAAGCTAATTATATCTGTCAAGCACACTATAGAACTCTTCTCTGAAGTTATAATGTGGCCTGAGATGTTGTACTTCATTGTAGACTATACAGACTGTACAAAATTCAGTGCAGGACCACCTCTCAGTGTGTGGAATTACCCTATATTGATGAAATGCACTTCTGCAAGTGTTTTAGTGATGGTCTTTTATTTATTTTGATATGGAGCATTGATATTTTCAAATTTGTAATAGCTAATGAAATTCTTATATGAAAACCCAGAGTAATTTAGTGCTACCAGTTTTTGGATAGGCTTGTAGAAGTGAATGCAGATTCTGACTATGAAGCAGTTTCATGAGATGATGCTTTATGTTACAAAAGAAGAAAATAGTTCTAGGGCCTCTGCTTTCCCAAGGGTGCTGAGGGAGCTGGCGGAGGTCATTGCTAGGCCACTCTCCATCATCTTCAGTAAGTCATGGGCAACAGGAGAGGTGCCTGAGGACTGGAGAATAGCAAATGTCACACCAGTCTACAAGAAGGGCAAGAAGGAGGACCCGGGTAACTATAGACCGGTCAGCCTCACCTCCATCCCTGGAAAGGTGATGGAACAACTTGTTCTTGTCACTATCTCCAGGCACATCAAGGACATGGGGGTCATCAAGAGCAGTCAACATGGTTTTATCAAGGGTAAATCATGTTTGACTAACCTCATAGCCTTCTATGAGGAAATTACTAGGTGGATAGATGATGGTAGAGCGGTAGATGTGGTTTATCTTGATTTCAGTAAAGCATTTGACACCGTCTCCCACAGCATCCTTGTAGAAAAGTTGATCAGGTATGGGTTTGGTGACCAGGAAGTGAGGTGGATTAGGAACTGGTTGAAAGGAAGGAGTCAGAGAGTTGTAGTCAATGGGGCAGAATCTGGTTGGAGGTGTGTGACTAGTGGAGTCCCACAGGGGTCGGTACTGGGACCGGTGTTGTTCAACATCTTCATCAACGACCTGGATGAGGGTATAGAATGTACCCTCAGCAAGTTTGCTGATGACACTAAGCTGGGAGGAGTGGCTGACACACCAGAAGGCTGTGCTGCCATTCAGAGAGACTTAGATAGGTTGGAGAGTTGGGCGGGGAGAAACATGATGAAATTCAACAAGGGGAAGTGCAGAGTTTTACATTTGGGGAAGAACAACACCATGTCCCAGTACAGGTTGGGGGCTGAACTGCTGGAGAGTAGTGTAGGTGAAAGAGACCTGGGGGTCCTGGTAGACAGGAGGATGACCATGAGCCAGCAATGTGCCCTTGTGGCCAAGAAGGCCAATGGCATCCTGGGGTGCATTAGAAAGGGTGTGGTTAGTAGGTCAAGAGAGGTTCTCCTCCCCCTCTATTCTGCATTGGTGAGGCCGCATCTGGAATATTGTGTCCAGTTCTGGGCCCCTCAGTTCAAGAACGACAGGGAACTGCTTGAAAGAGTCCAGCACAGAGCTACAAAGATGATTAAGGGAGTGGAACATCTCCCTTATGAGGAAAGGCTGAGGGAGCTGGGTCTCTTTAGCTTGGAGAAAAGGAGACTGAGGGGTGACCTCATCAATGTTTACAAATATGTAAGGGGTGAGTGTCAGGGGGACGGAGTTAGGCTTTTCTCAGTGATGACCAGTGATAGGACAAGGGGTAATGGGTGTAAATTGGAGCATAGGAAGTTCAAGGTGAATATCCGAAAAATTTTTTTTACTGTAAGAGTGACAGAGCACTGGGACAGGCTGCCCAGGGAGGTTGTGGAGTCTCCCTCACTGGAGACATTCAAAACCCACCTGGATGAGTTCCTGTGTGATGTACTCTAGGTGACCCTGCTCTGGCAGGGGGGTTGGACTAGATGATCTCTCGAGGTCCTTTCCAGCCCCTAAGATTCTATGATTCTATGATTCTTCATGGGAATCCATCCTAATCTGTTGAAGAGAGGTTGTGTAACTGAGTACTAGTGTGTAATTTATATGCAACATGATCATGTTGATAATAGGTAAGGGTGCGTTTAATTCTGTTTGCACACTTGGTAGTCTGTGGTTTAGTCACTGATTATTTTATGGCTGTTGATGAGCCAGAACAGAGTTGTATTTTTATAAGGTGAAACTGAGTTGTGAGAGCATATCGTTCTTTATGGTTCCTGCAGTAGTATCTTGTAATGGAATATTGCTTTTAGTTTAACTTTGAAATTTCATTAACATGTTGAAGACAAGGATCAAACCCAGTTTGTTTTCCTCATGATTCATATTATTGATTGAACTGAAATAACACCTATGCTTAAAGAAATAAAATTTAGTCCAAGTTACCCTCCTGTAATTTCAGCTGGTATAAACTGTCGTAAATTTATTGGCTAAGATGAAGCTGAAGATTTGCTGCACTGTGGATCAGGCCCATAATTATACATCAGAGAGTTTTAGAGAAGAATGACAAACAAGGTTGATTTTACTGTGTTAAAGGTTTATTTTATCAAAGCATGCATAAAAACTCCAGAGCATAAATATAGCACGTGTGCACACAAATACAATTGAGGAAGCCAAAGGTCTGCTAGTACAAACAAAAGCACAAGTCACTTCAATATTCTTCTAAAGCTGTCTTTCCTTGATTAATCAAAAAGGTCAGTGTAATGAGGCATGCAGCAGGAAACATCCAAGTGAGAGGATAAGGAAAAAAAAAATATTTCTGCTGAATTACTTCAGTGTAAAACTATAGTAAGACCCTAAGTTGATGTGAACCACCTCATTTTAGTCACTCACTTATCTATACCAGCTGAAGATCTTGCATATATTATTCTTACTGTGAAATGCAGACGATATAATCTCATTTATGTCAATCGCTGCAAATAGTAAAAATACAATGAATAAACAGGACTTGACTTAGGGCTTTAAAAAAAAAAAAAAAGTTTACTTTCCCCTGAATCTTTTGTGTTTGATTTTTCCAATGTTGAAGTTGCATCAACATTACTTTATTAATAAAAGACAATTTGTACACCTCCGCTTTCATCCCAGTAAGATTCAGATTTACTTAAATAGTAGCTTCATTGGTTAAGGATGCAGTATTTGATCTGTAGTTTTTATTTAAGAGTGGGAAAATGTTCTTTAGCAAATAGAGATTGGTACTATATGTAAAAGCCAGACTCTGTACAGTTTTAAGAAAATGCTGACCAGAATTACATGGATTGTATTTTGTAGATTGCACAAATCCTCCGCAACACTGGCATGAACATTTCAGCTGAAAAGTTTGAAGATATATGGAAGCAAGCCTGTGTGAAACATCAGAAAGAAGAGGCCTGTATAGAAAGCATCAGGAGTGTACTGAATGAAATACATGCATCACACACAAAAACCAGCTGCTAATTCTAGTAGTTGGGCATTGCATTTTTAAAAATTGATGCCAAGCATAATTCTGACACTAAATACAATATTTTTTTTAAATAAAGTGTGTTTACAGAACTGGTATTCACTGTTTATTGTCTTTCTGATTAATGGGTTCACCACATATATATGAATCTTTCTGCTATCCTTGCAGTTAGTAGGAACTGATAGCCATAGGAATAAAAGAGGATAGAACATATTTGTGCATGGCATTAAAATATTTGTCTGATATTCTTGATTCTATGTTTTTCTACAGTGTTTCTGAGTCTAAATAATAATACCTTAAGCATGGACACATTTTGCATTTTAAAATTTATTTTATTCTCTTATAAATGGAAGAGCAGTTTTGGAAGTACTTAATATACATGTTTCAGATATGCAAGACCTCTTAAATATTATTGTCATAGAATGGTGTCTTGCCTTACTTGTAATGTTGCATAATTTAATTTAAAAATAATGGTACCTAACAGAGATCTGGTTGTGGTAAGTTACTTGATAAGTTTAAAAATTCGTGTGAGAAAGTGCTCTATAGTAAAATACTAAGGAAGCTGCATAGTCATGGGTGTGGGATCTATTGTGTCATGATCTGTTTTGTCCATAAGTACCAATTGATTAAGAAGTGTAAAAGTAAATGTCCAATTGTGTGGCAGAGGGCTCATATTCTTTATGCAAACTTACAACTATTAAGTGGTAGTGTTTGGCAAGCAAGCAAGAAGAATGGATATTCAGAGGTGTATGTGCACATTATATAAAAATTGAGGCTAGGTAGTTAGAAAAGTTTGGGAAGGCATACAGAGAGAGCTAACTGTTAGCTGTGACTGATGCAATTTCTTGGGAAGAGGGATATTCATAAACAAAACCACTTGATCATTATGGAAATCTCAATGAATATATATTTGAAGTCCAGTAAGAGTAGAATAGATTCATAGAATGGTTAAGGTTGGAAGGGACCTTAAAGATCATCAGGCTCCAACCTCCCTGCTATGAGCAGGGGCACCTCACACTAGACCAGGCTGCACAAAGCCTCATCCAACCTGGCCTTAAACACCTCCAATGAGGAGGCTTCCACAACCTCCCTGGGCAACCTATTCCAGCACCTTACTACCCTCATGGTGAAGAATTTCTTGCTGATGTTTAACCTAAATCTACCCTCTTTCACTTTAAAACCATTACCCCTTGTCCTACCACTATGGTCTCTGGTGAAAAAACCCTCCCCAGCTTTCATGTAGCCCCTTCAGGTACTGCAAAGCTGCTATAAGGTCTCTCTGGAGTCTTCTCTTCTCCAGGCTGAATAGCCCCAACTCCCTCAGCCTGTCTTCATAGCAGAAATGCTCTAGTCATTTGATCATCTTTATGGCCCTTCTCTGGACCCTCTCCCAACAGCTTCATGTCTTTCCTGTGCTGAGGGCACCAGAACTGTACACAGCACTCCAGGTGGGGTCTCACCAGAACAGAGCAGAGGGGCAGAATCACCTCCCTGGCCCTGCTGGCCACACTTTTTTTGATGCAGCCCAGGATGGGGTTGGCCCTCTGGGCTGCAAGCACACACTGGTGGCTCATGTCGAGCTTCCCCTCGAGCATCCACTACCACCCCCAAGTCCTTTTCCTCAGGACTGCTCTCCAGCCATTCTCCTTTCATCCTGTATTTGTGCCTGGGGTTGCACAGACCCAGGTGCAGGACCTCACATTTGGCCTTGTTGAACTCCATGAGGTTGGCTTTGACTCATCTCTCCAGCCTATCAAGGTCCCTCCTGGATGGCATCCCTTCCCTCTAGGGTGTCAGTTACTCCACACAGCTTGGTATCATCAGCAAACTTGCTGAGGATACACTCAATCCCACTGTCCATGTCTCCGACAAAGATGTGGAACAGCACTGGACCCAGTGCTGACCCCTGAGGAGCACCACTTGTCCCTTGCCTCCACTTGGGACACTGAACCATTGACCACAACTCTCTGGGTGCAGCCATCCAGCCAACTACTTACCCACTGAGTGGTCCATCTGTCAAATCCTTGTCTTGCCAGTTTGGAGAGCAGGATGTCATGTGGGACAGTGTCAAATGCCTTGCACAAATCCAGGTAGATGGCGTTGGTTGCTCTGCCACTATCCACAGTCTCTGTAGCCTTGTCATAGAAGGCCACCAGATTGGTCAGACATGGTTCTGTATATCTTAAATACTGGGAATGCATGTGTAATGACAGCTTAAATTGTCATTGTAACTCTGTTCTCACTTGGCATTCATGTGATTGCTAAGGTTCCTCTTTTCCCAGTGTTCTAGGAGCTTGTCATTTACTAGCTTGTTATGTGTCATCCTCAAGCCAGACACTTGTACATTATTATTGTTACATTAATAGTAGCTGTCTTACATCAAGTAGTGAGAAGTTGCTTTCTGGTATCTTCAGGGAGCAGGTGGTGGAAAGGTAGCTTCTTTTCCGCTGTGAGTGAAAGTTGTGTTGTTGTTGCTTTGCTTTCTTATCCTTCTGGAACTCTGTGTATGCACTGGGGAGCATGCAGAAGCAAACAACTGTGACTGTTTCAAGCAAAATCATGACAGAAAGATGAATGTACTGCTAATTTCAATTGAATTTGTTATGTCGGGATTTCACTACCTCCAGTGAAATTCTCTGAAGTTTCTCTTCTGCTATAAAGAGGATGAGAGGGAGGAATCCTTTACCTTTGTTGTGGTATGCCTCAAAAAGCGTTGGACAGAATTGCACTTAAATTTTTAATAGCTTTTCTGCTTTAGTAGTAAATTTTAGATTAAAGGTTTAAGGTCACTTCAGGGAAAAAAAAAAAAATCAAATCTGTGTGTATATATCCATATATATATTTATATATAAAAATATATCAAAGAGATCTGTTGTGTTTGTGCAGCAGCTGAAAATCCCCTGTAACCTATTTTTTGAACCTGCTGTAAAGATACCCATTTTCATTCCTCTACTTCAAGCAGAATGTTTTCCTTGGTCAGTGAAATGGAATTAATATTGTTCTTGGACAGTCTGCTAAATAAAGGCAGAATAAAGAAGACTAATAAATAATGGTTTAGTACTTTGCCAGTATGTTTCTGACCGCAGACTAAAGGTTTCCTCTTGTGCTTGGGTTTGAAATGAACTGTAAGTGGTGTTCACCTAACCTTACCTCTTCTGAAGCTTGAAAGGATCAGTCACTGATCAGAGCTGTAAATTCTAATTGTAGGTGTTTTTTTTACATTACAATATACGTATGAGGCATCTGAAAGATTTAATTGCTGTAACACAGACAGTTACTTGTACAGAGTTTTCCAGTCCATTTGTGTTTTATTTTTTTTTGTTTGTTTTGTTTTGTTTTGTTTTTTAGTACTTCATGTACACAGATTCTTGGTGCAGATTGTTGTATTTAATTTCTCTTTGATTTCCCAACATACGTAAATTCAATGACATATTTATAGGCTTTAGAACTGCAAGTTGTGTTCTGTGATTTTTATTATTCCCTTAATATATTCCAACTGATAGAAAAGAAAAAGTTTACTTTCTTCTATATTGCAGTATGATTGTCTTTCTCTAGAAGTTGATTAAACTAGGATAGCACACTACCTTTGACTCACCTGTGGACCATATCTGAGGGAAAGTTTTCCAGAAAAGGTTAGCAAAACAACCTTCACTATGACTCAAAAGCCTTGTATTCTAAGAGCAGACATACAAATTCAGCTCTTGAGATTGCAGATTATAAATACGTTGACTGGAACTTTGTGGAAAAAAACTAGTAAATGGCAAATCCTGACAAAGGTAAATACTTTAATAAAAAAACAATAGTAATTTTTGGCCAAATTTTCTTCACAGAATTTTCATAAAAATAAGCACTGGATAAAAGACAAGACATCAATTTGTACACTGATTCTCCATTAATCTCTGTTTCACTGCAATGATCATTCCAAATAATAGTAAATTTAGTAATTAAGCATTTAAAATTTCTTTTATTGAATGAACTCCTCTTAAGTTCACCTTAGAGCAGGTGTCTTTTTTTCCAGGGACATAGTGGGGAGGTTTTCCTTTCCACAGAGCTAGAGGCCAGTGTTCTCTTCTCCCCAAAAGCCATGCCAGGGATACTGACTTTCAATACCTGAAAATGTTTACCTGTAAAAGAAAAGGCTGAAGATCTGAATATGCAAAATTATTTGTTGTTTATTCTATATTTCTGGCTCTTAATCATGTGAATGTTAGCACAGCTAAGTGTACAGTTAATATGACTTATTTGGCAATGACTTCTGCTATGTAAAGCAGTTGTTGGACTTGATTATTCTTTTTTACTGTTGTCTAATGGAAAAAAAAAAATTCTCTGCAGTGACTTGTGTTTGAGATGCTGGAAGATCCAGCCCCCTGTCTTTCATAGAACTCTATGTGTGAATAAATGTATACTTTGCCTTGATATGATTACTACATAATTTTAATATATATCTTTAAAAGTTCTATTTTTTTCCCAGTGAATTAAAATTACTAAGAATTGCTGGATTTCAGTGATTTACCTGACTGAAGTAAATTTCCTGGTCCTGGAACTCATTCTTAGAAGTAAATGGCCAGTTATTTTTGGTTGGTTGTTTTGTTTCTTAAACAACTGTATGTATTTATTTGGGTGCTAAATAGAATGCTAATAAGCCTTTATGCTAAGAAAAATACACTAAATGGATGTCTAAGCAGAAAAGATGGTATTAAGGCAGAGTGCCAAGAAATATGATTTAAGTCTTCATCTTGCCAACAGATATGAATAGGTAGGATGTTTTTGGAATGGGTTATGCAGCCTAATTAGTTGGTATTTGCCATTAGGAGGCATTTATTTGGAAACTAGTTATTTGCATTTGACAGTCTATCATTGGGCACCATCTGCCTGTGTGGTTTGACCTTGCAAATGGCCAGAATACTTTTCTAGCAGATGAGTATGAGTTTAGGCATGCCAAAGAACCACTAAATACTGCATGGTTGAGTAGTTGGGATAGGATCTGTATTTCTTT